CTGTGGTTGGCGGAATCGAGGGAGACATGGGTGTGGACGGCCACATGCTGCGCCCCCCCCTCCTTCCCCATGGAGAGCCAGAGCTGCCTGCAAAGTCTGCAGGGCCAAGCGCAAGGGGAAAACCCAAAAATTCTGTTCAAAAAATAGCAAAAAACTGACACTGCATATGCTAAAATATGGAGCTTTTTCCTTCAAGAATATTTGATGGCTTATAAAATGTAACAGGTGTAGTTGTGATATGTGGGTAACAACGTAAACTTACAAATTGCAAAATATATTTTTGCTGTCACAACTTTATGTGATACAATATATAATAATACTTTAATAACATGATATCTTGATTAATCATAAGATTTTTTTTCTGGCTGAATTTTCTGCCAGTTATATATCAGATGATCAAAATTGATATTTTTAGCAGCTTGATATCTATATAACTGAAAGCAATGTTAGTCACTTTCAGCAAATGCAAGACTGCAAACAATTTCTGATAATTTTTAATTTTAGGGAGATTTTCCTGCTGATGTAACTGTTACTGGAGCTGTTAAGAGTATTTTATAGGCTGTGAAAATATTGGGATAAATTTCTGATAAATTTATTTCAAAATATGAATTTTAGTACACCTAGAGCTGATGATTCTTGTGGAACAATTTTTCTGGGAAAAGATTTAACTGTCCACACAAAGCAGTTTTGGGTAAGTCTGAATTTAATTCTACATGTAAATTTATACAATGGCATTTCGATATTTCTGCTGACATTTTCAGAAACCAAAAGTTGTACAAGAAACCAAAAGTAGCTTCATGATTTGTATGTAATTCAAAGTGTCTGTTGTGCATTCTATGGCTGTATCTTCAGTTACAAGGAAAAATCAATTTAAAAATTGTCTACTTCTTAGTACTTGGCTCATCCAAAGCTTCATGTGAAAATAGTGTTATTTTCCCCAGAGCGTGACAATCTGTGAGTTAAAGTCCCATTTCTAAGCCCGAGGATATCTTCTCGCAGGGCTGCAGCAGTTTTTAAAGGTTTCTGTCGAGGCGAGCCTGCTGTGGCCGCTGTTCCACGCCCAGGTCCCAGCCTGGCCCCGGCTCGCGGCTCTAGACGGTCCGGGCGCCGCATGCCTGCGGGACTGACTGCTGTGGATTCTCCTCTGTGGAGCCTGGCGCCCGAGCCTGCAGGTGCACCGGCTGCAGTGGACCAGCACACACTGCCTCCCGGGTGTCGCCTCTGCTCGTGCCCCTTCTCCACTGTCCCATCGACCCTGTGACAAACCCAAGTTCAAAGATAAAAGTATTAGGGATTTCAAGACACGGACAGCAGAACGCTGAACCAAGCAGAGCGTCTTTCTCCGCCTGAAGTTCTGGATGCCTTCCCGGGTTCCCTGCCTGAGGGGCTGGCCCTGAGAGGGTTCTCAGGGCTCTGGAATTGCACATGACTCAGGGCCTCCCTTACCGGCTCTCTCAGTCTCCCATTCCATGGATTGTCTTTTCACTTTCTTAATGGTGTCTTTTGATAAAAAAAAGTTTTAAATTTTGATGAAGGCCACCTTATTTTTCTTTTGATTTCTTGCACTTTAGATGTATATCTAAGAAACAGCTGCCTGATTTACCCCTATATTTTCTTCTGATTTTATGGTGTCAGCTCTTATATTTAGGTGTTTGATGCATTTCGAGTTAGTTTTTGTGTACGGTATGAGGTAGGGGTCCACCTTCATATTTTTACACATGGATAAATAGTTGTTCAGCATTGTCTGTTAAAAAAACCTATTCTTTCCCTAACATACTGTCTTGGCACCCTCTTGAAAATCAATTGACCATTAGTATGTGGGTTTATTTCTGGAGTCTCAGTCCTATTCCAATGATCTGTGTGTCTGTCCTTATGCCTGTCCCACACATTTTTGATCACTGTATCTTTGTAGTAGTTTTGAAATCAGTAAGTGTGAGTCCTCCAACTTTATTTTTTCTCTTCAAGATTGTTTTGACTATTCAGGGTCCCTTGCAATTCTGTATAAAATTTAAGATGAAGTTTTCCATTTCTGCAATGCATTTTGATGGGAATATATTGAATCCGAAGATTGCTTTGGGTGCTGTTGCCATCTTAACAATAGTGAGTGTTTCAATCCATGAACGAGGAGTGTATTTCTATTTATTTAGATTTTCTTTAATTTCTTTAGTAATGTTTTGTAGTCTTTAGTTACAAGTCTTGTACATCTTTGGTCAAATTTATTCCTAAGTATTATTCTTTTTGATCCCAAGGTAAACACCATTTCTTCTTAATTTAAATTTTCAGACAAATTTTTATTGCTAGTGCGTAGAAATACAACTGATTTTTGAGTGTTGCTCTTGTATCTTACAACCTTTCTGAATTTTATTAATAGTTCTAGTGGGTTTTTTTGTGGATTCTTTAGGATTTTCGATATACAAGTCCATGATATCTGCCAATAGAGATAGTTTTATTTCTCCTTTTCTAATCTGGATGGTTTTACTTCATTGTCTTGCCTAATTCTCCTGACTAGAATCTCCAGTACGATATTGAATCAAAGTGGTGAGAGTGGACGTTCTTGTCTCGTTCACGATGTTGAGGGGAGACATCAGTCTTTCGCCACTAAGTGTGATGCTAGTTGAGGGTTTTTTATAGATTCCCCTTTTGAGGTTGAGGAAGTTCCCTTTTATTTCTAACTTGTTGAGTGTTCTTATCTTGAATGATTTTGTCAAATGTTTCTACATCTTTGTCAAATGCATCTACTGAAATGACATGTGGTTTTTGCTTTTTATTCTGTTAATATGATGTATTACATTAACTGGTACCGGAATGCTGTGCCGACTTTGCATTTGTGGGATAAACCCCACTTGGTCATGGTGTGTAGTTCTTTTTAGATGTTGTTGGATTTGGTTTGTTAGTTTATTGTTGAGGATTTTTGCGCCTATGTTCACTGGGGAGATTGGTCTGTAGTTTTATTTTCTTAAAATATTTTGGTTTTGGTATTAGGGTAATGTTGACCTCACAGAAGGAGTTGGGGAATCTTCCCTCGTCTTCATTTTTGGGAAGAGTTCTTGAGGTATTGGTGTTACCTCTTCTTCAAACGTTTGGTAGAATTCATCCGTGAAACCATTTGTTCCAGAGCTTTTCTTAGTAGAATATTTTTGGATTATAGCTTAAATCTCCTTACCTGGTATAAGCCAATTCAAATTTTCTATTTATTTTTGAGTAGGTTTTGGTAGTTATGTCTTTATAGGAATTTGTCCATTTAATCTAGACTGCCTAATTCATTGGCATACAATTGTTCATAGTATTCCCTTATAATCTTTTCTTTCCTGTAAGGTACACCCCCTTTTTCACTCCTGATTTTAGTAATTTGAGTCTTCCCCTTTTTTCTCAGTTAATCTAGCTGAAGTTTTGTCCATTTTGTTGATCTTTTCAAAGAACTATCTTTTGTTTCTATGATCTTACCAATTGCTTTTCTATTCTCTATTTCATCAATTTATTCTCTGATATTTGTTATTTCACCCTGCTGCTTACTCTATGTTTAGTTTGCCCCTCTTTCTCTACTGTCTTAAGGTGGATGGTTAGGTTATTGATTTGAGATTTTTCTTCATTTTTAATACAAGCATTTCAGCTATAAATTTCCCTCTAAGCATTGCTTTGTGCTGTGTCTTCATTTTTACTTATCTCGAGTATTTTCTAATTTCCCTTGTTAATTCTTCTTTGATACAATGGTTATTTACGAGTCTTGTTTAATTTCCATGTGTTTTTGAATTCCTCAAATTTCCTTCTATTACTGATCTCAACTTTCATTCTATTGTGGTTGAGAAGACAGTCCCTCTGCTTACATGGGGTAGCCAGGCATTGTTTTCAGTATTAAATAGTGTGGAGAGAGAGATGACAACTCAGCTTAGACGACGCAAACATGAACCCGCAGTAAACACACCCGACTGTTGGCTGCACACACTTGTCCGTGGCACACGGCGTGGGGTAGAAAGTCAAATATTCCCCTTGCCTGAGCGGGAGTGGCGTCCTGCACACGACAGTGGGGAGTTCCGTGAGGCTGACGCTTCATGCTAACGGGAGCGAGGAGCAGCGAGGCTTTCCAGCCATCTCAACAAGGAGCTCAGATTTTTATTCTCCAGGAGCTGGAGAACCGCTGGCGGATTTTGATCAGTGATGGGATGCAGCATCTGTTGGGGACGTCACTCGGAGCTCTGTGGAGACGGATTCCATCAGGCAGGACTTGTCTTACAGAGAAGGACACCCCTGATCTTGTGTTGGATTTTTTTGGAAGTTGGTCACAGGGTCATGTTGCAAATGACCTTTTCCATCCAGACCCAAAACTTAAAGTCATTCCAATGAGAATCTAGAGCACACTCTAGGTCGTGTTATGTAAACCAGGTTGGACTTTGAAAAATGGAATGTCCTATTTTTATACATTGCTAATGAAAACAACAAGATTATGACTGCTCTCTGAAAATTCCAGGCAATATTGCAGCCTTCATTGTTTTACTTTCTAGTAGTTTTATATTAAAATTTTCTGTTTTTAGCATGGTTCACAGGAAAGGGCACCAGTTAATTTATTTTGTCTTTTGCATCCTGTAATATATTAAGGAACCGTCACATAGCTTTTTTGTTTCATCTTAGGATGCTGCTTTGGGGGTGTTAGTATCCGCATTTTCACACTGCAGCAGCTTTCGCCAGGTTAACGACTGGGCCTTATGGCAGCAACAGCAGAGGCGGAATCTGGAGCCCAGTCTCTCTAACTCGAACGTCCTTTCTTCCAGTCTGCGACCCTCCCTCTTTGACAGAACGACAGGTCTCATTGGGGTGACGTTTCTCCTCTGTCACCCAGTCAGTCTGAAGGCGCTGGGTGAATTAAGAAGCTGTGTTTCCCTGGGTTAGGACAGCTCAGCTGATTCAGTGTTAGGTCAGGTAGCCTTGTTTCCTCCATGATAGCAGGAGAAGGAGCCAGCGGGGCTGTGCTGTCCAGGGCCTTACATCATCCTGCAGACAATTGGCAGCCAGGGGACGGGCAGCTGCCACCTCTTCAGATATCCTCTATTTAAAGTTCAAAGAGACGCTGGACAGCAATAACAAAGAGGTGAGCGTGCAGAGCGACCCACCCCACAACAGGAGGAATGGCCGAGAAAGGTAAGATTAGGCATCAGACTCTCTTGGCAAAGGAGCCCAGCTCCCTGGTTTAGGTCGTTTCCCGGCATTTGGTGTTTCTCAGTTGTTCTGAAGAGTGTGGTATCTCTGCTAAAGGAGCATTAACCACATGTGTTGGTGCGGCTGCAAAAATGCATTAGACGGACAGTTTATGGGCCGTGTCTGCACATTATGAATAATTCTGAGAGCATCAAACAGACAGAGGAGCTTGGTTTTTTCGTGCTCGTCTTGAAAGATGAGTTTGAAGGCAGTTTTCTCCAGGGCTGTGCGGGCCTTGAGGCCTTTGGTGAGCTGGGCCAGAATTGAGGACACTTGAATTTGGTGTCAGATCTGCTACTAAATGGCCACGTGAGTTTGGGGAAGTCCCTCTGCCTCTCTGAACCTGTTTTCTGACTCTAAAATGAAAATATTGGGCTTGGTCATCTCTAATATGCTTCACATCTGAATTTCTTTTTTTTCTGGTTTTCAAACACTTTTTATATTTAAGAAAAATAATTGCCTTTATGACAAAATGGGCTGAATATACACTGTGTCCAAGAAATAGTTTTTAAATGCCTACAGGAATTGTTGCCTTTAATCTTGACAACAATCTCTTGAGATATGCAGTATGATCATTGTTTCCATTTTACAGACAGGTAAACTGAGGCATGGAAAACTTTAGTGACTTGCTTGTGATCACAGCCTGAGAGGGGTGGCCCCAGGCGTGGAACCCAGGCAGTCGTGGTCCAGAGCACGGTGCCCTTGGGAACACTTCCAGGTGTGACTCCCGGGCCGTGCTCAGGGCTGGGCAGAGAGACAACCAGTTGAAACTACCCTTCATATTTAAAAAGAGGTTTTGTGCTTATCTGTGCTACGAACGTAAGTGACATGTGCAAAGTATGTCGTGTTCCTAGATATTCCCGTTTCAGGACAATGCCACAGACTGATAAAACTTAAAGTATCAGTCTTAAAGGAGCACAAATGTGAATATACCTTGGGTGTTAAAATGCACAGTCAACTGTATTGTTTCACAAGGAATAAGAAATAGTGAGATATATACTTTTAGGGTTCATTATGTGTAAATTTTAGTGTATTAAAATATACTTATATAAAATATTTATAACTTCCCAGTTAAAATAGTATTAATTTTTAAGTTCTTTGAAACTGGGAAAGATGCTAAATCACATAGATGAACAGTTCTGAGAAAATTACTGCTATGTTTCCACAGTGATAGGGGCCTGAATTCACAAAGGCTTTCATCCACACGAGGGGAAAGGGCAACTGGATATGTTTGCTTGGTCCCTAAAGCAGAGCCACATGGCGGATGAAGAGAAAGGCGTTTCTGTCTGGTGGTTACTGCCTGGTCAGGCCACAGCGAGACGAGGGGCAGGGAAAGCCGCCGAGTTTGCGAGAGTTGAGAGAGACTCCAACAGTTTTGGAAACAAAGACTTAAACAATTAAAATTCATTTTAACTTACGAAAGTTTGCTTTCATAAGACTGTCTTCTAATTTTGGAAGTGTCTCATTTCAGGATGATTTTATTTTAATAGCATTAAAAAAACACTTCACATTTTAAAGGGATGGGAATCATAATAGGCACGCAATTGCTGTGAACATGCATTCTCCTTGTTGGCCAATGGCATGGGATCTAAGTCTGCTTTTCAATTAAGAATATGTCTGAGTCCTTACCACGGGGACGTTAATTCTATGTGATGTCTTTCTGTGCTGAGTTTTTTGGTGGGGTAAGGAAGATTGGCCCTGAGCTAACATCTGTGCTAATCTTCCTCTACTTTGTATGTGGGATGCAGCCACAGCGTGGCTTGATAATCAACGTACAGGTCCACACCTGGATGTGAGCCCCTGAGCCCTGGGCTGCCGAAGTGGAGCGAGGGGACTCAACCACTACCTCATTGGGCTGGTGCCTTTCTGTGCTGTTTTGAATCCTTCCGTGTGATGTGTATGAAAGAACCAGATTGAGGTGCAGTGAATATTTAAAAAACATACTTTCATAAATTGCTTTTTACAAGTAAGGGTACAAACAGGAGGCCCAGGAGGAATCATTGTACTACCGTCCGTGTGTGTGTTGAACCAGTGTTGGTTGCTGTATCGAACAAGTTAAACAAACTGAATCTCTTTTCTCTTGTCAAGAATGATTATATAAGTCACACCACTTTCCTCTTCCTGCAAGACTGAAGATTAAAGTCCCTGATCAGGGCCAAGAACAACTCCTGCGCCTTCCCCTGTGTTGTGATTACTTAGCAGGAGTTATCTCAGAGCCATTTTTGATTGTTTCTCTGTAAACAGCTGCTCTCTGTGTCAGTGAATAAATGCAGGAATGTGTTCTGTGTGCACTAAACACACATACAGTGGTTAGACTTTACAAAGCTTTTGCACACATGTGATGTCATCGGATCCTCACAACAACTCCATGAGGCAGATATCACGAGTCCTATTATCCATATTCTCCAGACAGGGAAATTCAAGCTCAGAATTGCCCACGGTCACACCGTCAGAGGAAGACCCTATGGTTTCTAGGCACCCAGCTGAGTCGTACGTCCTCTTGTAGAAAAGGAAATAGACGTGCGCATGGGTGCGACTAGAGAGCGCGTTTTTTTCTCTTGATATCACCAGATTCAAAGATTTAATACCAAAATAACCTACCTGATGTGTCTTCTTCTGTATGTTTTTAAGCGGAGCTTCCATTCTCCCGCCTCCTGGTCCCCATCCTTCTCTTGATCGGCTGGATTGTGGGCTGCATCATAATGGTCTATGTCGTCTTCTCCTAGGACGGTAAAGTTTTCAATAATTGATTATGTTTATTCATAAAGAGCATATGTTGCTCTAGAAATAATCTTTTGTGGTTTACTAATGGGACATTTTATCATGCAGGAAAGAAGACTTCAGATTGACGTCATCTAGAAGAATTGAGAAAAGAGCAAACATGACAGATTAAGAATTGAGAAAAGAACAAACATGACAGATTATTAAATGTTCCTCATGTAAATAACTGTAATGTTTGGCATCCCTTTATAAACTTGGGTTTGTAGACTCGTGCTGTGGTGTGCATTAAAATTTCTTCAGGAACTTGTTTAAAGTCCTCGGTACAGATAAGAAGTATAAGCAAATGTGGATGAATTTCTCTATAATCGGGGAGCAGGAGAAATGTTCCTGTAACTAAGAAAGCATAAGCAATAGGGAAAAGTTTGGTAAGTTGAATTATATTAATTTTTTTTGCCACCTCCCCCCAAAAAAACTATAGAAAAAAATGAGCTAGAAGTAAGAGAGAGTTCACAGAAAACAAAGTGTAAGTGTAAATTGGGCCTTTGACCTCTTGCTCATAACAACAAATGTAATTAAACGGCACTGAAGACCACTGCTCCTCATCAGAGGGCAGACGGGGACGTCCGACAGGTGTGTGTTGCTGGGATGTGGGCACACGAGCAGAGCACTCTCCTGGGCTGTCTTCAGAAATCAGAAACGGTAGAGTGTTTGTAGGAGCACTTGGCAGTCAGTATCTACCAACATCACACGTGTGTTTAACTTTTGACCCAGCTATCCCTCTTCTAAGAATATTGCAATTTCCACAGACACACGGTAAAAACACAAGGTAGCGCACGCACACGCCTATTCACATGGCATGATTTGTGACAGCAAAAGCCTGGAAACAGGCTGGATGCCATTGCTGGGGCCTGACTGAGGGAGCTGTGTTCTGTCTACATGGAGTGGTGCTTACCCGGCTGTACAAGGCAGGGGGTGTCTCTGTATGCAGATGTGACGTCATCCCCGGATCAGCGTGTTGAGTGAAAAAGCCAGCATGTGCTCAGGAGGTCTGCACCAACACGCACGCACATTGCAGTAAAACGCTGGGGTGGAGATGCCACAGATGGAGGCAGACATCTCTGAGTGCACCTTCTTTCATAGTTTTCATTTTTGCACTCATGTAAATACCTGATAAATTAAAAAGACAGAGGAAGAAAAAGGAAAAAGTAGTCCCTCAAATTTAAAACAAACTGAAGCAAATAAACCCAGTAACACATCAAGTTGGTGACATAACTACCAAGAAAAAATTCCTTCAATTGACTTTGAGACACAGTGTGTTTGACTGCACCTCTCTTACAGGGTAGAAATCTTACCTACATTCAGCAGCCTTTTTTTTTTTTTTTTTTTGCTTGAGGAAGATTGGCCCTGAGCTAACGTGTGTGCCAATGTTCCTCTATTTTGTTTGTGGGTCGCTGCCATAGCATGGCCACTAACAGAGTGGTGTAAATCTACATCCTGGATCAGAACCTGGGCCGCTGAAGCAGAGTGTGCTGAGCTTAACCACTGGGCCACTGGGGCTGGCCCCCTGCAGCTGTTTTGTTGGGCGTAATATTGGTATTGTTAGTTTGAAATGCATATCATCAGCAAATGAAGTCAAGTAAATACCTGATAATCAAACTTGAACTGTAAATAGCACCAGGCACCCACAGTTTATTTTCCTTCTTCGAAAAATAAGTCTATCCTAGTTCCACCCACTGAAAAAGCCTAATAGGGATGAGCACTGCCCCCCCATCCCTTGTCGTCTCTGAACAAGGCGTGCACTCAGAGGAGCCGGGATCCCTGCCCTGGTCTGGCAGGAAATGTGAAAGTGAGTTGGGACGTCTTGTTGCAGAAAGTAAGGAAGCTGTGAAGGCTACTGCGGACGAGGATGTGACTATTTGAACGTCAGAAAGAATAATGACTGAGGCCGGCCTGGTGGTGCAGTGGTTAAGTTCGTGCACTCGACTTTGGCAGTCCAGGGTTCGTGGGTTCAATCCTATGCACTGCTCATCAAGCCATGCTGTGGCAGCGTCCCACATACAAAATAGAGGAGATTGGAACAGATGTTAGCTCAGGGACAATCTTCCTCACCAAAAAAAAAATAATAATAATAATAAAATAAAAAAATGACTGCAAAGGATCAAAATACATCAAATATATAAATACCCATGAACCCAATGATAATAAAAAATAAAAATAAGCAAACAAAACTCTCATTGTCACATTTGGAGGTTGCTAAGGAACCAACTTATTATTGTAAAGTTTTTAAATAAAGAGAAAGAATCTTGTTTTTCTTGAAAAAACTACTTCTAGATAACCAAACAAATTTTGAGAGAAAGTTCTTCTTTATAGAAGTCTTCCAGCTAAAATATATAAGAGGGATAAAGGTGGAAAACTATTCTTTTGCAAACTTTAATGAAATAATAGATTTTGGCAACAATCATTAATGGATGTTAACCAATTGGGTTAAATGTTGATGGGGGAGTTTTACACCGGACAAGTCAGTCTGATGGCGTCTGAAGCCACTGACCACCCAGCGTCGCCCGGTGGTGCAGCCGACTCTTGAGCCTCCTGTCGGGGACAGTGGAACACACATGGTGCCACTGACGGGGCGCTGCTGCCAGAGCAGCTGAACCCCAAGGGAGCTGAGACTCTGGATCTGTGTCTCTGGATCTGTCTACCAGGTGACTCTAAACGAAATCATGAGGGTACCTTCAGCCAAGTCCAGAGTGTAGACAGTCACAAAGGAGGCAGGGCCCAGTTTTTCAACATGTAACCCACGTGAAGAGGTGGAATGGGGAGGGAGAATGAATCACGGAAGCAGAGAGACTTCACAGGGCAGCCAGCAATGGGAGTGCCGGCCAACCACACAAAGAAGACCGCTTTCTATTTCTGTGACAAAGGCGTTTAGGAACTCTTCTTAATTTTCTTCATTATAATAATGGCAATTAGCAATGGAAAAGAAAGGGCGTTGTCTGTTGGATGTGCACACTGAGATACTTGCTGATGAAATAACATGACGTCTAGGAATTGCCTTAAAATATTCCCATAGATCACGAACTGTCCCCGGCTCTCTGAGGTCATTAGGCATCGTCACAGCTCGACTCTGGTTTCCCTTGGAGTTGAAAACAGCACCTCCTATTTTAACTTTCTTCCCAGGTAGAGCCTGAGTTTTCCTATTACTTCTTTCTCCTGACTCCTGCATCACCTGCCACCTCGGGGTCCTGGCGTGCGTTTGTGTACAGGCAGAGGGAGAAACCAGGACGTGGCAACCTGTGCCCGAGGTCTGCCTGGCAACCTCCCTCTCTTCAGTCTGGACCACCTTTCTCCACACGCACTAGCCCTTTTCTTTAGCTCTTTGAAGCTATAGGATATCTTATTTCTTGCTCAAATGTGTGCACAGCTTTTCCCTGGAACACAAAAAACTCCAGCGTCCTGTAAATCTTTAAGTTCTACCTCTGACAAAGACTCTCTTATTTCAAGGGCTCAACATTCTTTCCCCCAGCACTTTAAAACAAACCGTAATGTTGTTTTCAAGCAACAATAGAAATGAATTTTTCTATAATAAGTATTTTAATTCCATGTTTCCACTTTTAAACTGATCATTTTCTTGGAGAACAAAGAAAGCTTAGTGCAGTGAAGAGAACAGAAGTTTTGAAAGTCAGATTGTTTTTATCCTAACTTGCGAGTCCTCTGAGTCGTTCATTAATCTCTCTACCCTTGGTTTTCTCAACTATAAAGAGGAATAATAATATTTTCATGGGATTGCTGTGAGGACTGCAGTGTTTTCTAAACCTGCCAGATGTGAGTCAACGGAGTCGTTTATGAAAAATACGGATTCCCAAGCACCTTCTCTGGAGAGTTCATTTCAGTGGGTCTGGAGAAGGCTGGTTAGAAAACCAATTCCTAGGTGATTTTTATTGTCACAGAAGTTGGAAAACTCACATAAAGTATGCGCGTGCAGGCGTTGCTCCCCATACATGTAGACACTGATCCACAGCAGCCTATACTGGTAAGTCCCAACCACTTTCTGTTTGCTTTCGTGCAACAAAATAATAGCACTTTATTATGTTATATAATATTACATTATATTTTAAAATCGCATGAAGTATAATGATACATAACATTGTTTGTCCACTAGTATTTTCCTATATGTGCATTTATTTTCTCCACTAAATTTAAGCCCTTAATGGGAGAATCTATTTCACATCTTTCTGATTCGTAGAATATGGTTCCAAATAGACAACAAGTGATGGGTGTCAGATGAGTAATTAATTATTCCCCTCTTACGATGTTCTTGAATACACACTGTTGATGCTCTAACTTGGAACTTTGAAGATGTTGATGGAGCAGCTTAAGCTGGAGTCACGTTCTCAAAGACGTGCTTGGTGACCTGTGAACAATAGGTCCAGGCAGGTGGTTGAACACAGATTCCACAAGGCATGGAATCTTGTATGTTTAAAAATTTTCAAAATCTTCAGCTTGAGTTCTTATCAAAGTGCAGACATAATTATTTGAGAGGAAGATTATGAGTTAATTGTCCCTTAAAATTTTGATTGTGTTTGGGGCCGGCCAGTGGTGCAGCGGTTAAGTTTGCATGCCTCTTTGGGGGCCTGGAGTTCACTGGTTTGGATCCCAGACGCAGACCCATGTGTCACTTGTCAAACCACTCGTGGCAGGCGTCCCATATATATAAAGTAGAAGGTGGGCATGGATGTGAGCTCAGGGCCAGTCTTCCTCAAATAAATAAATAAATAAAATAAAATTTTGATTGGGTTAACGCCCCGTTTCACATCCTCACAACACCCCCACTGTGTGCCCCTCCTCCACGCCAAGACACACTGAAGTCGGAGCCGGGGAAACGGTACTTTGTACCCCGTGTTAGGACATAAAACACAAAACCTCCCAAGGAAAGCGTGTTGTCACTCTCTGCGCCTGCCTGGGAAAGAGAGACAGTCCATCGAGTCTGAAATGTCCAGGGAAGCTCCTCAGGGCCTACCAAGCCGGGAGGAGCCGAGAAAACTCCACGAGAATGGAGCCCGCGGGAGGGCCGTGAGCACCATGGGGGCAACGCGCTCAGGACACATCCATCTGTAGATCTTGTCACGAAACAAATCAATTTCTCCTTCTTTTTCCTGGGAAATTGTTTCCTGTCTTGTTTATTATCCTTATTTTTGCTGATTTCAGTTTCTCAGACACCCTCTCCCCCTTTTCCTTTCTTTTCTTTTCTTTTTTGCACAACTAGAG